TACCACACGTTCACACAGCTGCGCAACCTGGTGCTGTCGGCCTTCCCGCGGTCCATGCACCTGCCCGACCCCTTCACCACGGGCCAGGCCATCGCCGCCATGCCCGAGACGGAGGCGGCGCCGCGCGGCGCCCCCGTTCCAGAGACCCTGCTGCCGGCCGGGCTGCGCGCCGCGGCCGACGCCGCGCTGGGCGCCGGCGGCGCCGCGGCCGAGGCGCTGCCCGCGCTGCTCTCCGCACTGGGCGAGGCGGCGGCGGCGGAGCCCGCGCCCGGCGCGCGCGCGCGCGGCAACCCCGCGCACCGCGCCGTGGCCACGCTGGGCGTCTACCTGGTGCTGCGGGGCAGCGCCAGGGACGGTGGCGCCAAGGACGGCGCCGCCGCCGCACCGCCCACGCCCCACCTGGACCTGCTGGCGGGGCTGGCCGGCGCGCTGGACCCGCCCGCCTGCGGCGCGCTGCTGGACGCGCTGGCCAACCAGCTGCGCTACCCCAGCGCGCACACCGCGGCCTTCAGCGTCGCGCTGCTGGGCCTGTTCGCACGCGCGCCGCGCGAGGCGGTGGCCGAGCAGCTCACGCGCGTGCTGCTGGAGCGACTGATCGCGACGCGGCCCCACCCCTGGGGCCTGCTGGTCACCTTCATCGAGCTTCTGAAGGACCCGCGCTACGACTTCTGGAGCCACGCCTTCACGCGCTGCGCGCCGGACATCGAGCGCCTGTTCGAGTCCATGTCGCGCTCGGCCATGGGGCCGGGGGGCGGAGCGCCGCCGCACCAGGCCGGCGCGGCGCCGGAGGCCGCCGCCGCCTGAGGTACTGCCTGGAGCCGTGGGTCGCCCAACACGCTAGTCTCGTCAGCCTGGCGCAGTGGCGAGCGGGGCAGTGCTGCGAATCATGTGCCTGGCCGGACGCCAGGGCACCCCCCGTTGATTCCCCGTCCCACGCGCTGGGCCCATGTTCATGCTCTCTGCCTATTTTTCAGCTGCTGGGTCGTCGGGCATCGCTCTGTAAGTTGTCACGAGGTTCCTGTTCCTGGCCTGGAGGAAGGCCGGCCTCCGGTGGAAAGCGGGGCCGGAATACGAAATCGCTCGGCGATGGGAGCCCGGTGCCACAAGGCGCCCGCCTCGCCCACACGTCCCCAGAGGCATGGCGAGTGCGGGGGAGGGGCTCTGCCCCTACGATGTGGCCCTGGTGGCCCTCCTGACCTGTGCCCTGCGCCAGGACCCGGAGGCGGACCCCGCACCCCCGGAGGAGGAGGCGGGGGACGCCCTGCCCCGATTCATACATGCCGAGCTCCTGGAGGACTGGCCGGGGCCCGGGAGGTCCATCGCAGCCCTGGCCGAGCGCATCAAGGTGACTAGGGGGTACTGGGGGAGTCGTGGCATTGCGAATGGCGACGGGTGACATGGCATCACAACCCAGCCGTGCGTTGGGTTGCGTGGGGGTGGACGCGCCGTCTCACCCTGTGGTCGCACTACCCGCTCAGGCATGCACTCCATGTGTAGATCTTGGGGCATTGATGCAGAGATCTGGACCCATCGATCCAAGAGTTCCCTGTGAATCCAAGCTCAGCGCCCATCGCCACCACAGGCCTGCCTCGAAGGGGACCTCCGGCTGCGCGACTCGGCCTACCCGCAGGACGTGCTGGACTGGCTGGGCGGCACGCTCTCCGCCATGCAGACCGCCGACGACCTCACCTCCCTGTTTGCCACCGCGGCGGCGCTGGCGGCCGGCCATGCGACCCCCCGCCCCGCCCCGGAGCCCAACAGCGCGCTGGGTCTCTTCCTGCGCCGCGCGGGGGCCCTGTTTGGCCGCATGCCCTTCGAGGTGAAGAGGTTGAAGGAGGGAAGGAGTGTTGCAGGGCGTGCGCACTCGACTCAGCACACGCCTCGCCGGCTGCGTGAGATGTGTTGAAAATGCTCTCGGCCTGATGTTTGAACGAGGCTGGAGCGTTGATGGCATCCCCGCCTGCAATGAACCCTCCACTTCCCCGCAGGCCGTGTGCGACCTGCTGGAGGAGGTGCAGCTGGCGGTGCACCACGCCGTCTCCGGCACCGCCCCCGCATCGACGCCCGTGCCCGCGGCGGTGGACCTGGGCATCTTGCGTGCGCGCCTGGAGTCCCACGCCCTGGCGTCATGTGGTCGGGAAGAAAGCGGGGCGGTGCCTGATGCCCCACTGGGTCCCCCGCTCGCCGACCTGGCGGCGCACCTGGCGGCGCTGCGCACCGGCGACTTCCCCGCGGCGCGCGACGCGCTGCACCGCTATCACGACCGCTCCGGCGGCGGAGCGGGGGCCCCCTCTCACCTGCTGCAGCGCGGCCCGCTGGCGCTGGCGCAGGCGCATGCGCGCGCCGGGCACGCCGCGCGCGCGCGGCGTGGCCTGGAGGAGGTCGTCCGCGCGGCGCAGGCCGGCGGTGCGCACGCCACTTTGGCGCACGCGCTGGGCGCGCTGGCCGACGTTGCCGGGCTGGCACGAGGCAGGGGCGCGGGGGAAGAGGACGCCGCCACGCCCTGCCCTGCGCGCGACTTGGCGGCGCAGCTGGACCGCGTTTTTCGCCGCGCGCAGGCCCTGGCCGAGCCGTCGCTGGCGGTCGCGAGTCGCCTGGCGCGCGCGCGTTTGGACTCGGAAGCCGGGCTGGAGGCCGGCGACGTGGCTGTGGTCAAGGCGCAGGACACGGCGGCCGACGCGGCGCGGCTGGCGGCCTGCGTGCGGCTGGAGGCCGCAGTGCCGCCGGCGCCGCCGCACGCGGCGCGCGTCAGCGACGGAGTATCTGGCGAGCCTGGCCCCACGGCCGCCTCCGCCGCGGCGCTCGCTACGGTGCAGGGCCTGTCGGACCTGTTCCTTGGCACGGGCAGCGTGCTGGGGGAGGGCGGGGGCGATGACACCGGCTGGCCGCCGGGGGGTGCCCCACGGCACGCCGCAGGAACAACAGCCGCGCTGGCGGCGCGCTCGCAACTGCTTCCCGCCGCAGCCTGGGAGCGGGCGGGCGCGCCGAGGCTGGCCCAGCTGCGCTGCCTGCTGGCGCTGCGGGACGCGGCGGCGGGCGATGCGGAGCGCGTCGAGGCGCTGCTGCTCCTGGCCGACAGCCAGGCGGGCGTGGCGGGGCCCGCGCAGGGCCTGAGGCTCCTGGATGCCACCCTGGGGGGAGCTGGGGAGGGAAGGGGTGATGTGTGCGATGCGCCCAAAGGCAAACGCGAGGAGGGGCGCGTCGCGATGGACGGCATGTGCGAGGTGGGAGGCGGTTGGCTGAACGATGAGGGAGAGGTGGCAATCGGCCGGGTCGACATCCCCTCCAGCCTGTCGGCGGCTGTGCGATCGAGGGTGGCGGCCGCACGCGCATGTTTGGAGGGGCGCCGAGCGCTGGCGGTCGGCGACGCGTGGTTGGCGCGGCACTGGGCGGGCCGCCTGGCCGCACTGGCGGGGCCTGGCGCGGCCGCCCTCCGCGCCGACCTCGACCTGCAGGCCGGCGAGCTGGCGACGGCCGCCGCGGCGCTGCGCTGCGAGCACGATGGCGCCGAGCGCGGCGCCCAGGCCCTGCACGCCGCCGCGCTGTCCTGCGAGCGTGCGCTGCCAGCCGCGCGTGCTCTGCTCCTGGGCGCCGCGGCGCGGGGCGAGGGCGGGGACGCCGCGGGCGCCATGCCCGCCGCGCTGGCGGCGCTGGGAAGCGCGGCACGCTGCGCCGCGGACCCCCTTGCTGCGCGGGCCCGGCTTGTGCTGGTCAGTGGGGCTGTGTGAGTGAGGGATGTGGTTTGGGGGGGGCGGGAGGAGGGGAGGTTGAATAATCGAGGGCGGGTTTGATCGCGCTTTGCCCGATTACCCAGGGGCGACCGGAAGGCAGGCTCCTTGGTCACCGGGCCGACTCGTCGCGATTGTGCCAGCTCTGGGGCTGTGGCGGCGGGCACTACCAGCCGTCCTCTGACCTCTGCCTGACTCAAGAAGATCCGACAGCAAAGGCACCACGTGGGGACCTACCACCCCCCCACCTCCACTCTTCACAGGCCCGGATCCTGTGCCACCTGGGCGAAGCGCGTGCAGCGCAGCGCCAGCTGGACGCCGCGCTGCCGGTGGTCCTCGCGGCGGAGTCCCGAGCCCTGGCCGGAGAGGCGCACTTGACGCAGGCCGAGTGCTGGCTTGCAGCCGAGGACGGCATGGATCTGGCCACCGAGGCCCGCGCCAGGTGCGCCATTCTACTTGGGATGCAGAGAGGGTAGTGGGGGCCTCAGTCGCGTGCAGGCGGCGTTTGGCTCGGCGTCCACTCTTCCTGTCAGACCGTGGGGTCCACGTCACTGCGTACAACTCCCTGTGCCAGCTTGGTCCCCAAAGATCGTGCCGTCTGACTTTGCGCCCGGAGTCCACAGCGCACCTTCTCCCGGCCGCAGGGTGCGTGCGAGTCTGGAGGCTGCGAGGCTGGAGTTCCAGGCAGCGGGTGAGGCCTGGAACCTCGACCACGTGGACGAGGTGCTTGCCAGCCTGGCGCAGGGCCCGTGATGGGGACCTGCCCGAGAGCACCCAGACTGCTGATACCTGGCGTACTGGTGACACGGCACGCTGTGATGCCTTGCGGCCGAGGCCTGAAAATGACCCTCACCCCTTCAGTGCCGCGCCCACCGCACCAGAGAATGCATCGACCCTTGTGACTGAATAGTCCACAACACCGCTTGTCATTCCCCCTTCACCCCCGCGAACCCAGTCTCAGAGGCATGTATTCTTGGGGCTTGACCTTGCAGTCAGACTGCAAAAAGGAGACACGCTGCGCGCTCTGGGGAAAACGAGCTCACGAGTGGCTGGTGACGGGCACGAGGTGGAGCGCCCTCTTCAGGAGGGTCCAGGGCGCCGGGGTATCGAGGGTCACCGCCCCGAGGTTCTGGAGGATGTGCAGAATGGCCGAGCAGACCAGGCAGAACATGACCAGGAGGCTGATCCAGACCATCGCCATCTCCCAGGGCTCCAGCATGTAGATGCCCAGGCCGAAGATCATGTGCTCATACACGCGCTTCACCCGGCTGTGACGGTGGTTGTGCAAGGGGTTTGGTCGGGAAGACGCTGCTACCACAAGCAGGGCTGCCTCGCTGTGCGACTCAGTCAGCCCACCCCCTCTTGGTCTCGCACCTGTAGGCACGGGTGATCACGTTACGCTCTCTCCTGGCCTTTTCCTCCGCGAGGATTGCCTGGAAGCGCGCGATCATCTCGCTGGGGCTGGGGGTCTCGGCCTCGCCATTTTGTTCAAAGGTGGTACTGGGCAAGGGGCCGGTCGACCTCCTCCTGCGAGCGCACGCGCCATAGGTGTATGTCTTCATTCCATGCATAGTCCAGCAAAATGCCTTGTCCACCATTGAAGAGTCCTGTAACACACCTGTGTGCACGCGTCTCCACCGCCATCGTTCCGTCTAGCCAAGGCGTTCACACACGCTGCGTGAGGCCCGACGGCTCTCAAGCTAGAAATTGGGTATCCTTGAGTCTCCCTGGCGCAGTATGGTGGGGGCTTTAGAGATACCTCTCACTCGAGCAGCTCGACTCCCGTTTCAAAGTGGGCGGAAGGCAGTGCGTAGTGCCGTCGCTGACGCGTTGCTGACGAATGGTGAGAGCGAAAGAAGATGCGCGAAGTTATAATATATCTGCTCGGTGACGAATGTGTTGCTGTTGTGGCCTGCTCCTCGGTGTTGAGGGGTGCCCTTGCCGGTGCTCTCCCCAGCCCCGCGCCCTGGCCAGCTGCGCACTTCCCGTGTTTCGAGGGTTGCGCCTCTGCTGCGATCCTTAGCAACACACACGCAGTAGGCATGTGAGCTCAAGCATCTTTCAATGGGATGCAACAGCATCTGTCTTCAGTGGCCAGTGCTCCCCAGAATGGCCAAGATGCTCCTCAGTCCTTATTGGTGTACCCAAAGTATTGCAGCATGGGCACCTGTGTGTAAAGCAGTCACGAGTGGGGTTCAAACTTCCCACCTCATGCATCCAGGGTCACCCAGCCTGGCCCACTCCTACGCAGCCCATGGAACATACCACGAATGAGATGGCGAGGAGGGTGAGCACTATGGTGGATGTCACCGGCTTCTTCTGCTCGGTCTCCGCCTTGGTCTTGTACGTCCTACGCCGCTCGGTGTCGGCACGCTGGGGGGCGGCAGGCACCTCCTTCCCCTCCAGCCGAGCAGCAATGCGCTCCACGGAGGACAGCACCTAGGGATTTCGGGATGGACCTGCTGAGTCGCCATGCTGTGGCGCCCGGAATGCGGCTCGTGCAGGGGTGGCTGCCAGGCAAAGTGTGACTCGGAAAAACCCTCCCTGGCTCACAGTCGCATTGTACTTCTCCTGCTCAGTCAGGATGGGAATGTTCTCGCCCACCACAGAGTCCACAAGGTCCTCTCCGACGGCCTGCAAAGGTGGTGGGTGAGGGTCAGGGGCACTACGCTTGCATGTGTGGGTAGAAGGGGTGCACGACTCAGTGCAATGGAGCAATCACATACCCTTGTCACGACAGCCAGGCTCCTCCCAGCCAATCAGACCTTGACAAAGGCAGGGCCGCCGGTGAGCGCGCCGTCCTTTCCGGTGGTGACAATGAGCAGGATGCCCTGCTTGTCCGGCTGCCCATACCACTTGCCAAGAAGCTTGTCACCCAGCGCAAATGCATCTGGCTCCACCTCCAGCTTCCTCACGGTTGCCACCTCCAGCCTGTACCCCGTTGCTTCCTGTGAGCGGGATACTTCATGATCAGTCCCCTGGCTTCCAGCAAAAAGCCTGCCTGCAAAATCGCCACCGCTGCAACGTAGGTGCGCCCGTGAAACGGCATGCGACCCATCCACCAATAAGCCCCAACATCACCTCAAGGCTCTTCAGCCGAGACCCCAGCTCGCTGCGCGTGGTGCGATTGAGCACTTTGGCATCGTCGATGATGTACTCTGTGGGCGTTCCATCGCCCACCAGGTCGGCCTCCGAAGCTGCGGCCGGCAGGCAAACCGGGCTGGCCACAAGAGACAAGGCAGCTCCGGCTGCTACAATCTGAGGTGGGGGGATATGGTGCTAGGAAATTCAATCACGTTCTGAAATTGATGCTCGGGCTGAGGCGAGCGCACGGGCATGGTCGACAGAGTCCCTGTCGTATCGAGCGTCATTGCGGAACTCTGCCATGCACTCTCACACCAGCACACATAGTCCGTGCTGACCATGCCAGCGACGCGGTGTCCCAGTCCAGTTTCCTTGGTCCTGTGTTCAGCGACGATGCATTTTGCGGCCAACACGCGAGGTGTCGGGCGAGCGCATGGACGTGCCGAGCGGACCAAACATGTCCGACCGCCGTGCGGTTGCACACTGGTACCCAAGCCGACGCCGAGCATGCTGGGGGGTGAATGCCGACCGACACAGATTCTGAAAATGTGTTGTGATCGAGAGAATGCGAATGGGGTTTACGGTCGCGTGCCCCTTCCGTAAACATGCTCCATCCCTGTAAATCCAACCCGATCTGCTGTCAACCGGTGTCCCCGACCACAGGCAGCGCGAATGTCGCCCCCGGCGACATGGTACTCGACAGTCGTACGCGTAGGGTGATGCATAGGTAAATCTCACACTCTCGCATGCCGTGCAGGGGCATGCAGCACTCAGTCGTCGCCCACCCCGGCGTCCTCCGGCTCCGCAAAGAGGAGTTTCAGCTTCGGCACCAGGCTCGGCAGCCGGGGCAGGTCCACCAGGTTGATGCGCATGAGATCGAAGGCGATGCCCACCGATCCCTGCCAAAGAGGTTCGGGGGGGGTAGTTGATCGAGGGTGGGGAGAAGGTGGCCCTGCACAGCAGGCCATGGGCCCTGTGGGACAGATGAAGTTGCTCCCTCCCATGCTCAGCACCTCCAGCTCTTGATGTCAGCACTCGGCAGGTACCTCGTCCCTATAGAGACATGATGATGATCACCCCCACGAAACACATGGTTACCTGGAAGTTTGCGTCGATGACCGGGATCTTGGGGTAGCGCTGCGAGAAGTGGGTGAGCACGGTGCGGTAGGCCCCCGCCGCCGCCGCGGTGTCCACCGCCTCGCTGGTGGTGCAGTGGTTCTTGGCCAGCGCCTCTTCCGCCAGCTCGTCCTCGAAGGTTGCTTCGTGCACCAGCAGGGTTGCCCCCCGGGCGGCATCCCGCACCGCCTCGCAGGGCCGGGTGTCGCCCGAGAAGACCAGCTTCCAGCCGGCCGCGGCCTCCAGCGCCAGGCCGTAGGCGTGCGCGCAGTGCTCCACGCGGAAGCTGACGAGGCGCGCGAGGCCCAGGTCGGCGGCGAGGCGCGCCAGCGCCGCGGCCGAGGCCTCCGGCACGTCGGCTGCCCCCGGGACGGAGCAGGCCACGTCCACCCAGGCGCAGGGCGCCGCCTCGAGCGCGGCGTACGCGCCCAGCGCGCGGCGCAGCGACCGCGGTGCCAACACCGTCAGCGCCGGCGCGTCGGCGCCCAGCGCCGCCGCGCGCGCGGCCAGCACCGAGGCCAGGCCGACGTGGTGGTCGGCGTGGATGTGGGAGATCCAGACTCCGCGCAGGCGGCGAAGCAGGGCTGCCGTCCCCGCCGACCGCTCCGACCGCTCCAGCTGGCCCAGCGTGCCCTCCCCACAGTCCACCAGCAGCGCCCCGGCCTCGAAGCAGTCCACCAGCGTCCCCGTCACGTTGCGGTACTTGCTGGGCACCGCCGCGCCCGTGCCCAGGAAGGTCACCTCCAGGCTGCGGGGGCCGGCGCTGGCCAGGCAGGGGGGGGGGTGGTCGCCGGGGACGGCGGCGGCGGGGCCCAGAGCCGCGATGGCCTCGCCCGCGGGGGAGGCCGCCAGCTCGGCCCGGACCGCCTCGGCGCTCAGCGCCTCCGGCACCTCGGCTGCGCGGAACGAGGGAGAAAGGTGGTCGGGATCGAGTCGGCCCTTCCTGCATGCACATCGTGCCTGCGCCAAGCGCAGACAGGAATCTTCCGATAGGGGGTTCCATGACTGGGTCCATCGCACCCCCTCACACAGTGGCTCCGCTCACATGAGTCCAGGCCGCGCTTGGCCACGGGGCGCAGGTTGAAACGCAGCAGGTTGTCGCCCGCGACGCCGCCTGAGAAGGGGGAGGAAAGGGGGGTGCAGGAGGTCGGGCGGCGGTCTAGGAGGCCATGCACCCAAACGGGTATCGCAGATCGGCCTGCCACCGGAAACCAGAACAGGTAGGGAGGGCTCGCGCGTGTCAGTCACTAGGATGGATGATTGACCACATGGGTTCATGCGCTGTTCAGTGGATAGATCGAGGACCATCATCCACACGCGGGCGTGGCAGTGAAGGGAGCTTGGCAGGACCACCCAAGTACCCCACAGTGGGATGACATGCCTGGCAGGGGGATGGCCCGCTCGCTGCCTGCTCCATCGGAGGGCAGCAGCGACTGCTGGAGGGGGAAGACGGTGGCGTCCAGGGCGTTGAGCTTGGCCTGGACACCCGCAGCCGCCCTCATCACCGGCTGCCCGGCCTTGCCGGCGGCGGAGGCCAGGATGTGTGATGCACCGGGGTCAAATCGCGCTGCCCACGCCTGGTACTCTGGCAGCGCGAGCACGCCAGCGGGGGTGAGGTGCACTATGCACGCCACTGTGTTGGTGGAGGGAATGTAGAGGAGGAAAGGTGTACGCAGGTTGGCCCAGAGCTGCACAGTGGTACAGCATCATTGTCACGACAGGCGCCGTCATGTTCAGGATCCAACCCTGGGATGGATGTGGGGTGGCCCAGGGCACATGCTTCAATCTCCAGCGCACTCCCGCCCCCCACATCCAGGCCCTCACCCTTGCTGGCCTTGTTGCCGCCCTGTGCAAAGGTCTGGAGGTCCTCGGAGGCCGCGAGCGCGGGCAGGTACGCCGCCGATGGGCAGTCGACGACGAGCACCACCGGGCCGGGGGTGGCGGGATCCATGACGTCGGCGGGGGTGATGGTGGATCCGTTTGTGGACAGCACGCTCTCCCCCCGCACCAGGCGGCCGTAGGTGGGGCCGCGAGGCACACCCAGCGCCGCCGCCTGGAAGGTGTTGCAAGGTGGGGGAGGAGAGGTGGGTGCATGCTGCCCACATGTTTGTCTGGCCGCGCCGGTGTTCAGGAGGTGCCCAACAGGTGCATGGGCAGAAACACAGGCGGGGCAGACAAGAACTGGGTTGCACGTCTGCCTTCGCACTGCCCTGCAGATCAACAGCAAGCTCTTTCAACAAGCCAAGCCAAGCCCTTCTTCACACCTTCTGGGGCTGGAACTTGCCCGGGATGTCTGGGAGCTCGGCCGCATAGCAGGCCACCGCCCCTGGTCCTGGCTCGCCGGGCTTGAGCCGCTTGGCGGCCCGCTCCTCGCCGTCCTTGCCAGCGGCCTCCCTTGTGCTCCCTGCCGTCACTTCAGCATCGGAAGTCGACGTTGGACCCTCTCTTCCTGCACCCAGCGCGGACACCTCGCCGCCCGCAGCAGCCGCCCCCTCAGCCTCGCCAGCAGTGAGCAGGAAGGGGGTGATGGTCACCAGCTCGTTGGCGACGGCGGGCTGGGCGTGCTGCAGCTCCTGCATGCCCAGCCCCACGTCCTTCAGGTTCACAAAGGTGCGGTAGGCGTTCAGCAGGGCAGACAGCCCCGGCGGCCCATGGAGCGCCATGCTGGCCTGGCCGGCCAGCAGCCCGCCGGCGGACGAGTCGGCCATGGTGAGCAGGGAACCGGGCAGGCCGCCGGCTGTGGCCGCCGACACGCGGGTGAGGAGCAGGGCGGACATGCGTGCCAGCTTGATCCGGTGCTCCACACAGTAGCGCTGGAAGCCCTCCCCCATGTTGAACAGGTAGCGCTGGCGGTCAAAGAAGAGGAGGACAGAGGGGGAGGAGGAGGGGGCATCAGCGCCCACGCCCAGCACCTGCAATTGGGGGGAAGGGGAAGCGGGAGGCTCAGTTTCAGTGCGGGCGCATGCTGAACGGCAAGGCACGCAATTGACTCTGAAACGGCTGCCAAAACACAAAGGACATCAGGCTTGCACCATGAGGAGGGTCACTGAGAGCCGCAGGGCCACTTGGTAGGAGACGATCGCAGCGACATTACCCCATGCTGTAAGAACATCATCCCTTGGAACCTTCTACCCATGATTCATTGAGCACACCTGGACATAGGCCGAGGTGTTGGCGGGGTTGAGGTCCTGGTCCTTCGCCATGGCCCGCACGAAGCCCGCGAGGGTGCGGCGCGGCGGGGATCTGAGGAGCAGGGAACCAGGAGCAGAGAAACGCAGAGCAATGTTGTGAGCCTGGCTCGAGGGCTCGCGATTCAGAACGAGGTGTTGGGTTGGAGCCGCTCTGAGTGCTCTGCCTGTGTGCGGGGTGGCAACCAGCAGCAGCCCAGGCATGCGCTTAATAGGTGGCGCTGTTAAAGTATTTTACCAAAGAGCACCAATGGCTCACATAGGAATAATGTTCGTTCTGCGCGCAACATGCGGGCGCCATGCATGTTCTGGGCGCTAGCTCCTCTGGGCGCGCCAAGGAAGCGTCGACATCAGATAAGACTCGCAACATGAATTACAGCAGGCAAGAAGCGACTTCCGGCCTGGATTCACACCCAGCATATTTTCCTATGCAGATCTGACATCACCGTAGCCTCAGCCAGGCTTGGGCAGTATGTTGGGGTCGCTCACGACACCGGGGCAGCCATTCTCGCCACCATGTCGATCCAAGGGCTCGACACCGCGGACTGTCACAGCATGGGCTTCTAAGAAGCCTCTTCTCGACATCAGGAGACTGGAGACTGGTTTCAATGCGAATCCGAGGCCGAGAGCTCTCCCTGGAGCTGGCCCAAGCAGGGGTAACCCTGCGGGGCTGGTCCCCCTGCTTCTCCTGCAGCCAGTGATGGACGCCCTCCTGGCCGCGCCGGCCCTGGCATCCGAGGGTGAATACCAGCCGCTCGCCGGCCTCGCCGCTCTCAAGTCCGTCGGCGGGGTGGCGTACGGCGCCCTGGTCCTCACCTACTTTGTCACACTGTGGAGGCGACGAGCAAAGCGTGCGAGCTCAGGCCAGAGGGATCGCCGGTGGAGGCCGATGAACCTGGAGCTCCCTGATGGTGCGCAGCTGCTGGACCCCAAGCAGGAGGAGGAGGAGGTGACCCCCCTGGCCTCTGCCATGTGAGCCCCTGGGTTGTTGCTGGCATCTGAGTGCCTGATCGAGGGAACCGCGCAGAGGACCAGCGCGGGAACCGGCCGTGTCCTGCGCGTGGAGCACACGGTCGCCGGCTGCTTTGCGGTGCTCCCTCCAACCGTTGCCCCTCCAGTTCCAGCCCCTGCTCCATGACGCAGAGTGGCGCTGCAGGCGAGCGGGCTCTGCGTCGCCATGTTCTACCTGTCCCGCTCTGTCGACGCTTTCTTCCTGAACCAGGCCGTCCCCGACCAGGTCATCGCACAAAAGGTGTCCCAGGTGGTCGCCACTGGCGTGCGTTGCTGCGCCTACCTGGCGACCTTCCTGGTCGGCGCCAACGCCGCGGGCCTGGCAGGTGCGCAGGCGGGGTGGAAAGCGCAGCGACATGGAGCCTGGGACGGGTGTGGGGAGCATGATGGGGAGTGCCCAGCGTGGATCGTGCCTTGGGCGACGGTGACGTCGAGGCAGGTCCCTCCAGCGTATCCTCACTCGCCGCGTGCGCAGGCCTGACGGTGCAGCTGCTGCTGTTCGGGCCACAGGAGGACGAGGGCGCGGCAAAGGGCGGCGCGCCGGGCGGCCCGTCGCTGCCCAAGGTGTCGGTGGTGGACGACATCGGCGCCATCCGCCGCGCGTTTGCCGAGGCGGAGGAGCAGGGCCGCGGCGAGCGCCCCTGAGTGGGTGGCTGTTCCTGCGACTGTGCATCCAGCGGCACATTCTTTTCCATTCTTTACCCCATCCGCCTTCGCACCACAACACTTCAGCTCGACTTGTACTCATGACTGTGTCCTTGAGGCGCTGTGGTGGTGCCCTGTGTATACCCTCCTGTGATGTCTGGCGGGGAGTGGGTACCCACTGGCCGCCCTGTCAACCCTGCATGCCCTCTCACAACCGTCTCCTTCGGTCCCTGCATGCACAGCGTGTCACGCCGGAATGTCATACAGCGGGAAGCCCTTTCGATTGCGGTTCATGATGGCCTGCGCCAGCTTCACCTGCGTGAATGGTTGTTGTTGGGGAGAGGAGGAGACTGGAAACATAGGTACACCCAGTCACCAGCAGGGCGCGTGATGTACTGGCCACCCTTTCCCGGCCTGCATTGCTCCTATCCACTCCCCGCCGCCCCCCAGCAAAGGCCACTACCAACCTGCCTCCCCAGGACCAGGACCGACACCAGCCCCGTGCCGCCTGGGCCCCGCCCCGTCCGCCCCACGCGCCGGATGTACTCGGAGGGGTCCCGCGGGAAGTCGAACAGCACCACGTGCTCCGCCAGGCCCGAGTCGATGCCGCGCGAGGCCCGGTCGGTGGCCAGCAGGACCAGCGGCGCCTCACCCTCGCCGCCCCCGGGGGCGGCCAGGAAGGCGCGGAGGTTGGCCTTGCGCAGCGGCGGCGCGATGGCGGTGTGGTAGGGCAGCACGCGCGCGCCGCCGGCCCGCTCGCGCCGCTTGAGGAAGTTCTCCACCGCGCGGCAGCCCTCCACCTTGTTGCAGAAGACGATGGTGCGCGCGGCGCGGCTGCCGGCCAGCAGCCGCGCCAGCGCGTCGGCCTTGCGCGCGAACCCGCTCTCCTCGCTCACCTCCTCGCCGCCGCTGCAGTCCAGCAGCCGCTCCTCCACCCCCGCCGCGGGGCGGTGCAGGCCCGGGCCGGTCACAGCGCGCAGACCGGGCCAGCGCCGCAGCAGCGCGTCGTGCAGGTCGCCGGGCAGGCTGGCGGTGACCACGACCAGCCCCGCGTCTGAGGCCCCAGGCGCCGCCAGCGAGGCCTCCACCTGCTCGGGGAAGGTGGTGTTGCCCAGCAGCACATCCACCTCGTCCAGCACCAGGCAGGAAAGGGCGGCCAGGCCCAGCGAGCCGTCCTCCAGCATGCCCGCCACGCGCGCGGGGGTGCCCACCGCCACATCCACGCCCGCCGCCAGCTGCGCCAGCTGGCTGTCCTTGCCCGCCGAGGTGGTCAGGCCCGTGATGCGCAGGGGGAACCCCGCGCCGGACAGCCGGCGGCACACCCCCACTACCTGCCGGCACAGCTCTGGATGGGGGGGTTTGGAAGGGAGGGAGAGGGGGGAAGAGTGACGAGAGTGGCTTGAAGAATTTTGTGATGGGGGGAGCGGGTCACGACAGCCGGCTATCCTGGAGGGCTGAGCGCCGCGCAAGAGCATCCCTGAAGCGCGCTGCAGTTGTCCTAGGGCTGATTCGAACAGATGGACCAATAGAGATGCGTACTGCAGATCATCCATGCATCGATTTGTCGGTGCTCCAAACGCCCTCACCCCCCCACCCCCACCACCGGCTCCACCCAACCACACGACCATCAAGCTTCAGGCACCCTCACCGGTGGTGGGGACCAGGATGAGGACGCGGGGGCTGTTGCTGCGCGTGACGGCGGCCAGGCCCAGCCGCTGCTCCTCCTCCTTCAGCCTCTGGACCAGGGGGAGCAGGTAGGCCAGCGTCTTCCCGCTGCCGGCATGGTCTGCAAGCAGGAAGGCCGAGGTGGGGCTGGCCGTCACCGCGTTCCAGGCAGCCGCCTGATGAAGAGAGGACATGGAGGGGTACGAGTACGGAGTTGGGTTGTGTGGATGGAAGGGCCCCTGTTCAGAACCCATCAGCAGCTGCACTGTCACGCCAGCCCACGCCCAGTGCACCCCCCCACAAACCCCATGCCTGGATGTGGGAGGGCCTGGTGACGCCGGTCTTGGACAGCGCCCTGATCAGGTCCTCGGACGCCCCCAGGTCCTCGAAGCTGGATGCAGCGAAGAAGTCGGCGGGGCGGGGGGGTTCGCGCCCCTCATCCACGGGCTCGCGCCGTCCGGGGGGGCCGCGGAACGGCCGTCGCCCCTCTGAGTTACCTGGCGGCCCAGGGCCCTGGGGCCCCTCCCTGCGCTTCCATCGGGGCTCCTGGCCCTTCCGAAGGCCGCGTCCCCCGCCGCGGTTGTAGGCGTTGTGCCCAGACCTGTCGAGTGAGAGGGTGGGCAGGGCCCCAGGCTCAGGCCCGGCTGTTGGCATGCCAGGACTGTGGCACTGGAGCCACGCTCACGTGTCTCCCATCGGCACACCCAGCAGATTGTAGAATTACTCACGGAGAGCTGGAACATGATGTTGTGAATGACTCTGGTCTCCTGTAGAGCGGGACCGAGTGCAGCCTTCCGGCAACAGGCCTAGCTAGCACCGAGAGCCCTTGAATGACCATGCTGATCAGGTCACCATGAGTCTATTTGTGGATCTTATCTAAATGTCAGGCTTTGATCATCTTCTTGCATCATTGGTCGCAGAGGCGACTATCGCCATGCATGCGTTGTGCTGGTTTCGGATGGGGTCCGCACCCAAGAAGTTTGCGCGCGCGCGTGCAGGAGGAATCTCAAGGCCACTTGCACAGGGCATCTTTGCTGGGGGCAGAGCGAGCCCTTGTGCAAGTACCTGCAGCCAGCTCGATACGTACGCAAATCGGTCCATTACATATCTTCGCCAAGTTTCGAGGTGCGGAGCGGCAGGGTTGCAGGCACCGAGACTCAGCCGGAGCCCAGGGTTGTCCCCGACCCCTGGCCATGGCGTCATCTTCCGCCGTCACCGACCAGTTGTTCGGGACCCTAGGGCACACGGAAGGCGCGCTGTACCAGCTGCCACGTAAAATCCCTCTTCGCATCGAGCCCAAGACCTACTTTGGTGCGTGCTGAGGGGGCTGGCGTGGACCGTACAGCTGCAACCCTTTCCACCCCGGCCCCTCACCCCTCCCCGCCCGCTCCTTTGCAGCAAATGAAAGGACGTTCCTGGCTTGGCTGAGCATGGCCACCACGCTGGGCACCGTGGCCACTGCCATCGCTGGCTTTTCAGTGGAGGATGGGGATGCCTCGGGGCGCAAGAGCTCCATCAGCCCCCGCACCGTGGAGCTCATCAGCATGCTCCTCCTCCCCATCTCCGTGGGCATGATTGTGTACGCCCTCTTCATCTTCTACAGCCGCAGCGAGAACATCCGGAAGAAGCGGGTGAGTTTTGCGGGGGTTGGGGCGCCTTCTTGAGCTTGACGTGGAGAGTAAGGGTTGAGGAGCGCTTGGTTGGCATTCGCATCGTGTGTTGAGGCCCAGTATTGGCAGTTTGACATGAGCGCTGTACCTCTGCGCCTGTTAGACCTCACTCCTTTCATTTCTTTGCCACTCTTTGCAATGCAGATTGGCTTCTTCGATGAGAAGGTGGGGCCCCTGTCCGTCGCGATAGTCGTCATGATAAGTCTGACGCTCATTCTTGCATCCGCCATCAAGGATGTGGTTTCGTCCCGATAGCCGCCCAATCTGCGTGGCTAATATGAAGACGGCTTGCTTGTGTGTGTTTGGCAGTGTGCCCCACTCCTGTATAGTGTTGTAAGAACCGTGGCTCTCTCATCAATGCTACCCTGGGCTAGCATTGACGAGAAGTGAATTTTTGCAAGCTGTTGCCGGCCGTGTAGATTTGCCGTGTGCACCCCCAACATTTTCAAAAAGAGATCTCCCAGAAAGTGCCCGCAAATGCGCGCGCACACTAGATACAAATACAAGCTTGCTTCCACAGGTACAGGATCAATTTTTTTATCGTATCGCCGACTTATTTCGTGTTCACGGCCCCACCCAAGGTGCACACGTTACATGCCCACGATCTGAACCGCGGTGTCACAGGCATGGATGCCCTGGCTCGTGCGCCAACCTACGAGTACACGACCCTGAATGAGATCGTTGGCCACCTGGAGGAGCGCCAGGTGTCCCAGTCGTCAGGCGCATTCAGGCCCAGACAGTATTATCCCAACATCTACCTCGTCGCCCTGGAGTGCAGCACCGTTCACCAGTGTCGCGGGGGTACAGGCACGCTGGATTGGGAAACGAACGAAGCGTGTCGTGACCACATGTGCGGACCCTATTTGGGCCGCTACATCTCCTTCCTTTTGACTGGCCTGCATGGAAATGTTCCAGCAACAACTCCCACCAGACCTGTATCCCAACAGATCGGTACTGCAGCCTGAAGGTGATCGACCCCTCATGCGCCGAGAACCCAGAGCTGCAGCATGGTGTGGAGTTCAGGTGCTTCATCCCCCCGGGAAACCCAGGACCGTGCCTTGACAAGCCCGGGGACATCCTGAGACTGCACAGAGTCAAGGTGCCACATGTGCTTGGGGTGGGAGTGAGAGCAGGGGGCCGGCGCACAGCGGCATCTCACACCACGCCTGCGTCCTGATGAGCGCGTGCGGACTGCAAAGCTCTGCGAGTCCTGGCCCGTGCCATCACCTCCCCTTGCTCCTCGCGACCCGCAGGCAGAACTCTTTGCGGGGCGGCTGAGTCTGAGCGGGCGGGCTGGGAGCCTGACGGGAGGCGGCCCCTCCCGGACCCCCTGCTCGTTCTGCCTCTTCAGCGGCAGGGAGAGGGTGAGGCCTGCTTGACTGGGGATGGGACAAGGGGTTCTGAGCCTTTGTCGTGACGACGTAGTGTGGGTCCCCGCCCTGGCCGGCGCTTGCTTCTGGCTCGCAGCAGCACCCCTCCCATCCGAATGGCAGCGGCCTCACTCTCCCTCCGCCCCGCCCACCCCTTCCCCGCCCACTTAAACCCCCCGCCAAGGCATCGTACCAGCCATACCAGTCTTCGCACACCAACCCCTCGCTGTCCGAGGCGGAGCAGCCCATCGTGGAGGAGCTGCGGCAATGGAGGGCGCGGGTGGACACTCACACCGTCTCCAAGACGGAGTACTCCCGCATCATCCGGGACATCCGCCCCGGCGAGTTCTTCGACCTCGTCTGCCTGGTGCGGTGTGGTGGGGGGGTAGTGGGAGGAGGAGATGGTTGGACCCTGGAGTGAGCAGAGGGTGCACTGCACGTCGTTCAGTCCTCGTTGCATGGCCGATGCCAGGCACTCATGGCCACCAGGCGCCGATTCGCTCCGCTGGTGCCCCCCCATGTGCCCTGGTACGCCCACCCACATCCCCCAACTCCCACTCGATGCACATGCCGGCAACCAGATTCTCGCAGTGGCTCCTCAGGGCGACGCCGCCACCGGCGCGGACATCGTGTACGTCTGGGACAGCACGGATGCGATGCCCTTTCCACCCAGGTGAGGACCTCTTGTTTTGGGCGGGGGGCGTCTGCATCCAGGAGCAGGGGATGCTCTGAGACCCTGTCAGCAGGGGCACAGGGCGGGAGGGGCCTGCACAGCCTCTGCAGGTGCCGGCAGGCTGCGACCCTCCAAGGTCCCCTGCCTGTCCTGGCTGCCCGTCTGGTCACCCAGACCCAGCATCCTCGAACCTTTACGCTCAGGCACTACGCCACGGAGTTTGAGACGGGGGAGGACCGATCCCCCCGCCAGACATACTGGCCGCAAAGGGAGGTGCGTCGGGGTCGGCGATGGAACACGGACCTGGCCTGGGACGTGCCACGCCGGCAATCATACTGGTTCGTGGGCTCGCGTGGCTGCCCTGCATGGCACGGACAGAGCATGTGACGCCCTGGTCCCCCTCCCCTGATCATGGGGGCTGTGCCCCGCTGCCATGCTCCCTGCCCGCACTCACCGATCAAACAGGTGGAGGCCTGCTTCCCGTGCGTTGGCACGGCCCTACCAGTCATCTTCCCCCGCGCCCCCGCCGGCCCCGGCGCCACCGCCCTGCCCTACCCCTCCGTGGGCTCCTGGGTCAATCTGCGCAACGTGGGTGCCCGCGTCGTGGACGGCCAGCTCCAGGGCTTTGTCACTGGCCGCAGCAAGTGGGCGCCGCGACGGGACGCGCAGGCCGTCATCCTGCCTGCCCTGCACACCCGCGTGGCCGCCAACGCCGTCGCAGGCGCGACGGGGTGGGGCTTGGTGGGGTGGATGGCGATGGCAGGGCGTGGCCCGAGCTGGGGTGTGGGTGTGCAGCGGTGGCAGGCACAGGCGAGGCGGCTCCCGCCTGTGCGAGCTGGAAGCTGCGTGGCTCGCTCGGCGGTCCCCGCCCGCGCGATGCCCAGACCCCGCACCAAGCAAAACCCTGCGCAGACTGGAGCCTGGGGGCGCCGGTGGTCGCGACGCCCGTGGACGCGGACCGGCCCCTGGACACGCTGCGCACGCTGCGTGTCGGGCCCGCCCCCGCGCGCTACCGGGTCAGGGCGCAGGTGGTGGAGTTCTGCCCGCGGGAGCCCACCGCCATGTGGCAGCGGGGCACCGAGGAGGAGGGTCTCGGTGAGTGGGGCACCCGAGGGTCCAGTGTCGTGGGGCAAGGTGCTCGCCAGCGGCGCGGCAGAGCCTGCATGCAGCTTGCACCGGGGGGCGCAGGGGAGCTGCAGCATGCGCCCCTGTCGGCTGCGTGAATTGCTGCATGTCACCGCCGGAAGGGCGGCTGACCGTGCCACCCCCGCCTGCCGGCAGTCCACGCTGCTCTCAAGGAACCCTCCCTTCCATGCCGCGCTTTCCAGCTCCCGCCCTGCGGCTCCTCCTGCGCGACGGGACGGGGACGCTGGAGGCGACGCTGGCCGGCTCCGACGCGCTGCTCTTTCTTTTCGGCTCGCCGCGCCTGTGCGAGGCGCCCGCCAGCCCCGGCCAGCCCGCGGCCCCTTCCCAGCTGGGGAGCGACCTCACCCCCCTCCTGGATCGCCTGACTGGGGCCTGCAGCACCACGTACGTGCGAATCGGGGGAGAGGGAGGAGAGGAGCGAGGAGCGGGGGTTCTTAGGGGTGAAATTGGCTGGGGCGAAGCATCGTGCATGGGTGTGGACTATTCAAGATCAGGCGGAGGGGCTGCAGGGTAATAAAGCAAATCCCTTGCCCTTGCACGCCCTCCCGCCACCACGGCCTCCAATCTATTCCTCTTCCAGGGAGTGCGGAGTGTGGTCGGTGATGAATCTGCAAGCCTTCGTCCGGGCAGACGGAGCCCGGAGGTACCGCATCACCGACACCCGCCTGACGGCCCAGTAGCGAGCCCCCTGGCTTCCTGACGCTCCTCATTCCCCATGACACCCCTCGACCATATTACCGACGGCAATGCCACATGGGATGCAACCTTTCATGTCTTACAAAGTGGGTCTGAGGTTGAGTTTGACGGGAAAGCCAGGTGCGGGCCAGCGACGCAGTGCAAACCCACTTATGGGCCGGGCAGATGCAACCCTCAGTCGTCTGCCGGTCGCCGTTCAGCTCCGCGGCACCTCCTCCAGCTCGGTGAGGACCCCCACCATGTCCTTGGGGTGCATGAAGACGACGGGATTACCGTGTGCGCCGATCTTGGGCTCTGAGCTGAGCAGGCGTACTCGCTCGGAGACGGCCGCCATGCTCGCCTGCCAGCGAGGGAGATGGGGGCCTCTCAGACAGTGGCCAGCGCTGCGCAACCCAGCATGACAACGGGGCCCACGCCCTGCACCCGTATGAACCAGAACGGAAGACTCTACCCCACCTTGACATTGCAAACTTCAAGGCACATGTGATGCATGCCCCCAGCAGGGTTCTTTTCCAGAAACTTGGCCACAGGGGAGGCCTCCCCAAGAGGCTCCAGAAGTTCCAGCTTGGTGTTTTCCAGCTGCACAAAGACCACGGTCACGCCGTGTTCAGGCAGGGCCTGGGGCTCGCTGACCCTGGCCCCCAGCACGGCTTGATACTGAGCAGCGGCTGCCCGGACGTCGGGAACGGCAATGGCCAGGTGATTGAGCCGCGTCACGGCCGCGGTCGATTGCATGCGCCGCGACACAGCACAGGCCTGCATGTCCGGATGCATGCAATATTTTGCAGTCAATGAAGGTAGCGGATCGCAAGGCTTTAGAAGCGTGATCATGCAACCCATGTCGTAGACCACTGACCAGTCTAGAGACCGAGGATCGAGCGGCCATGCGGGAAAGCTCGCAGTTGGCGGGATTCTTATTTAATACTTGAGTATTATTTCTGGAGGATGAATTTTTTATTGAGTGCAGTGGTCCCGAGTGTGTCGTGACAATGAGGACCAGGGGGGCACCCCTTGCGGTCATTTCAAGCTCCCCAACGCTCGACATTCCACTCCGATTGACAGCATGTCATGCCGAGATTGTAGATCCTTACCTGTAGCGATAACACTCTGCACCAGGTTCTGAGGCGGTAGAATAATTTTTGCGTTGGTTGTATAAGGATCTGTGGATGTATAATGGCTCTCCTGAGTACTGCATAGTGGGGTCCACCTTCCTTTCAGTTCCACTGTAATACTTACAGCATGTAATGCCACAAGATATTCGTTCTGCTCCTTCAACAACTCCCACGGGACTCAGGACACACAACGGGCCCAACAAGGGTCTAGGCTTGGGCTCTGCCCTTACTATCCGTGCGCTGCACGCTCACTTTCTGGAGTAAGCCATCTGTGTGGTGAAAGGTGGTTTGGAAATAGGAGGATCCGAATCGGCTGATTGCCGACGTCAAATAACTTGAAAGACCTTGCACCAGTTGCCCCCCCGGATGGCCTCTGCTCGAATAAACAAGAACAAGAGCCAGACTCGCCTTCATTGCCGCCTCGTTGTAGCGTGCCCCTGTGACATTGGAGGGGTCGGCAATGCGTGCCAGCTCGGCCAGATCCTCTGCAGTCAGGGTGACGTCCAACGCCCCCAGGTTCTCCTCCAAGTACTTGACGCGCTTTGTCCCCGGGATGGGCACCACATCATCTCCCTGAGCCAGAACCCAGGCGAGCGCCAGCTGGCCTGCACAGCGCGAGGCACAGGGACGGTGAGCTATGCAAATTATTGGCCCGTGACACCTTCTTGGTGGAGCACAAGCAATTCCATTGGGTAGAGCACTTGCCACCAATGCGCCAACTCTCCCTCCCTCACCTGCTGTGGCATCCTTTGAATTTGCCAGCTTCTTCACAGCTTCCACCAGTTTCATGTTCTGCAGAGTGGCACGTCAAGGAACAGAGTGAGCACCATGTGCTTGAACCTCGACATATAGTATTCCTCCCAGGTGTAAGTAGCGCATCAATGTTCCTCACCTGTTCAAATGCTGCTTCCTGGAAGCGGGGGAAGGACTTCCTGGAATCCTTGCTGTCGAGATCCTCTGGCTTCAGCTGCCCCGTCAGGAAGCCGCGACCCAGCGGGGAGTCTGAGGGAGATGGTGTGGAGAATACAAGTAAGTGACGGATTGTAAAGATCACACATGTCTGGAGATCTGGCTTCTACGAGTGACGGGCACAGCAGGCGCCGCACATCCCCAAGATGCCATGCCACAGCGCCTGGGTTATCCTGGATGACAATCCTTCCTCTCCACTTACATGCAACAATGCCTATGCCCAGCTCTCGGCACAAGGGAATGATGTCCTCCTGAACCATTGTGCAAGGGTTCGTGCTGGGCAAGGATGCCATTACAATGTAGGAGCTCCCTCTCATGACGATGAGGCCCCAACCTCCCAACTTGCCCCCTGTGTCACAGGATTTAGGCCAGTACGCTCACACATCCCATCTCCATTGCTTCCACTTCGAATTCACCTCGGACTCCCGCGTCCACAGGCTCCACTCCAGCTGCACAGCCGAGAGTGGGTGGACAGCATGTGCCCTGCGAATGTCCTCCGGGCTGGTCTCGCTGACGCCAATGTACTTGATCTTGCCCTCATCCACCAGCAGCTGGGAGAGGGGGAAGGGCAGGACAGAGACCAGTGACTATGGATGTGACACGTCTGTGTTCATGGGGAGCGTTGGTCTATGATAAGAATCGTGCAATGCTGCCCACTCCCCCGTCCTGCCCGCACTTTGAGCTCTGCCATTGTATCCTCGATGGGCACACCAGGGTCTTTCCGGTGCATGTAGTACAGGTCGATGTAGTCGACCCCAAGTCGCTTCAGGGACGCTTCACAGGCTTCCCTGCGACATCAGAGAATGGATGGGACACTGCGGGCCCGAGTGGGAATGCCACGGCGTGTCGCATGGTGTAGGTCCCTTCATTCGCAATCCATAAACCTTCTCCTAAATGACCAACTGTATCGTACTCAGTTCACCTGACATGCTTCCTGCTGCCATCTACAGCCATGGAACCATCCTCTTTGTAGTAAAGGGCAAACTTTGTGGCAAGGGTCACCTTCTCTCGGGGTATAGTGGCAATTGCTTTCCCTGCGAGGACGAGGCATGTGCGAGGAATTGCAGAGAAATCGAGGCAAATTGATATCTGACAAGGGACTACTGAATTCTTCCGCCATCATGCATGAAGCATCCACGCACCCACGAGCTCTTCGTTGGTGAAGGGGCCATAGATGTCGCTGGTGTCCAGCATGCATCCTGATTCAATGGCCTTGTGGATCACCTGCCTCGCAGTCAGGGTAAGAGGTCTTCAGGCCACTTGAACATGTGTACAGTATCTGCACAGTTCAAGATGGAACCAATGCTACCTAGAGCCTGGCCTTCCTGGTCTTACATTGATGTAGTCCTCCTCGGTCCCAGCGGGAGGGCCGGAGTTGTGGTAGCCCCATGACATCCCTGCGATCTCCAGACCAAACGCCGGATCCATGGCAAACCAGATCTCGCAGGCTTTCATTGTACTTCAATCCCTACGATTCATGAGCGTGCTGCACCCCTCTCACCCATGCATCCGAAGCCTAATGGTGACACTGCCAAGCCTTGGGTTCCGAGGCTTCGCTTTTGGGTCGACATTTTGGGGGTGGGGCTCTCAGGCGATTGCAGTGGCGCTCGCCTGCTCCTAAAAACAATTGTGTGTTGAAACAAATAGTTGTGAAGCATCTGTCAGGCACAATGACAACGATGTTCGCTTGGCTCTGGTCGCAGGATGACGTGAGTGGACCCCAAATTGTGGTGACCGGGGCACCTTCGCCAGCTGCTCCACGGGTGAAACCGAATAAATATGTGTCCAGGGAATCTACAAATACTTTGACGCCGAAGCTTCATGGTCACAAGAATTTGGAATCCAGCCTTGATATTGCAACAAATCACAGGGGAGAGCTTTGATCAAAGCCTCCAAACTGAAGCTCGCAGCACTTTCCAGGTTCTTCCTGGTGCCCCTTGGGGTCCTGTACCGATATCACTTCAAGCAGGTCCTTCAACCATTGAATGAGCTCTGCAGGGAGCACGTTGTTGGAGGATTGTTTCAGTGCATGCTGGAGATGTTCTTCACAGTCAGCAGTGTCTCCAGTGCCTGAAGGACACACTCACCGCCCATGCTCCCACATCAACCCAGTCACCTCCATTTGATCACTCCGTTGATTCTGTGGAGTCACCACGTCTCGAGCCCTCCCCAACCATTAAAATCATTTCCCAACCCACTGGCTTGCTGCCGTCGCCGCGTACCTGCATGAGGACCGGGTCGTACCTCTCCCCCACGACCTGCGCGGCATCCGCCAGCTTAGTGAGCTCCTTCAGCTCCTGGGGGCTCAGCCGGACCTCGTTGGCAGCCAGGTTCTCCTCAAGATACTGTAGCCGCTTTGTCCCCGGGATGGGCACCACATCCTCCCCCTGGGCCAGCAGCCAGGCGAGCGCAAGCTGGCCTGACGGGGCAGAGCGGAGATACACAATTGGGGGAGCAAGCTGCTGAAGACCAGCAACCTGAGATCATGCACAAGTGGATGCCAGTGACAGCCAGACACATTTAAGCACTGGACCAGGCGTCCCTCCTGCCCGTACCCGGCGTGAGGCCCTTGGCAACTGCACGATCATGAACCTGCTTGACCAGTTCCAGGTTCTGGAAAGGGCGAATGGAGGTGTGGGATAAGCGATCGGGCTCTATGATAATGTGGGCGCCACACTCTGCTACTCAGCCCAGCATCACAGGCGGTCCGTGCTCGCCGACCCCCCCGCCCACCTTCTCAAAGGCCCCAGCCTGGAAGCGAGGCTGCGTTCGCCGCCAGTCATCTTCGCCCAGGTCGTCGATGCTCTTGATCTGCCCCGACAACACGCCGCGGCCCAAGGGGGAGTCTGTGGCAGTGGAATGAGGGTGGTAAGCCAACCCCTGCAACCTTTGAGCCAGGGAGTCTACTGCTGATGAATTCCAGATGGTCGAGTGGGCGAGCAACTGCGCACTGCACCCCCAGAGGCTAGATGCACTGCAGCAGATGCTGGCACGAGCCTCCTGCCCTCCTCATCCAATCCCTGCACCCACATGCAACGATGCCGATGCCCAGCTCGCGGCAGAGAGGGATGATTTCATCCTGTGCGAGCCGTGCAATGAACTGATCAAGACTTGTGCATGATAAGCAGCCAATCCTGCGCGTTGCAGCCAATCAGCTGTGGCATGCCAAGCATTGCCACAATCTAAACACACGAAAGATCTTTTATGAGTGACCCTGGCGACAATATGTCGGTCAATCTCCTTCTCTCTCCACACGAACCTCTGCGTCCCGGGTGAAAAGGCTCCATTCCAGTTGGAGGGCCGTGAGGGGATGAATGGCATGCGCCTTGCGAAGATCGCTGGCAGTAAGCTCGCTCACGCCGATGTGGCGGATCTTTCCCTCCTCCACCAGTAGCTAGGGAGCGGCAACACGGAGCTCGGAGTCAGTCTGTGCGCAAGAAGCTGTGCAAGGCAATCTGGTGGCATGGATCCCCACGCCCAGGCCCCGCCATCGCTAGGCACACCTTTAACTCTGCCATGGTTTCCTCGATGGGCGTTGCCGGGTCCTTGCGGTGCAGGTAGTACAGGTCAATGTAATTGACCCCGAGTCGCTTGAGGGATGCTTCACATGCCTCCCTGGCAGGGGCAAGGTACGATGTGATTTGGCACAGCAATCGCGGGCACAGGGTCCCGATGCATTGCTGCAGCACCGAGAAAGCAGTGACCCTTCCCAAAGCCTCCTTCAGACTCACCTGACATGCTTCCGGCTGCCATCGACGCTCATGTTATAGGACGCATCCAAAACTAACCCAAACTTGGTAGCAATGATGACCTTCTGCCTTGGAATGCCTGCAATGGCCCTGCCTGAGTGGGGTAGGGTGGAGGGAAATTGGTTGGTCGAAGGGGGGGTGCTGTCCTTCTCCAATCGCACATGCCAGGTGTTGATACATTTGCCTCAGCGCCCCCCGCTCACCGATGAGTTCCTCGTTAGTGAAGGGGCCATAGACGTCACTGGTGTCCAGCATGCATCCTGCCTCGATGGCCTTGTGGAGGACCTGTCACGGAGTGCAGTGCACCTCTGTGAATGCCCGCACCTGTGCTTCTAGTAGTTGGCCCTCCGGACGAGGCATGCGATGTGGCAGGATGAAGGCTCACCAAGGCTCCTCCACACACCTTGATGTTCTCTTCTTCATTCCCCAAGCCCTTTGTATAAATGGATGACATTCCTATGCAGATGACAGGGTGGTGTGATTTTGGAGATCATGCACGAAAGATGTGAAGCGTGCCGATTCAAGCTCGACGGCGAGCTTGCTCCCATCAAGTCATAATAATATCAATGAAACATGCGAGTCAATACCAGGCAAATCGGGCATAATCTTCATGCTTAATACTCACCCATGCAGCCGAGGCCTTGTGGGCCGACCTTCAAACCTCCCGCATGGGTGCCAAGAGTGCGCTGGACGACCATTTCGAGAGGTGGATCAGATCTCGATGGAACACGCTGGGCCTTTCAACTCAATGTAGGGAAGCTGTCCTGCCGATTCCTGGTTGTTGATCAAGTGGAAACCCCTCCTCCCAAGGTATGTAAGTAGGGCACCGTGAAGATTGAAGGATCACCCAACCATGATGCAACGGGAACTCACCTGACTGCGCCCGCATCACCATCGCGCATCCCTTGACAATTCGTGCTTGTGATAGTAATACCTGCTGCTAAATCCAAGGCAATCAGTGTGGTTGGATGGGGCGATCGAATGCTTTCAGAATCCGAGTGATGGAGGACAGCGTCTCGCACAGTCCACATGCCTTGAGCGCATGGTCTACAGCACATCGTCATGACCCAAGTCATGAGAAGCTTGATAACGATCGGTTGGCGGCGCGCAGGTTCAAGGTCTGTGAGGCTATCAGAGCGAGTGCTGAAAGAGAGAGACATCTCCAGAGGATAAATCAGCAAAGGCCTGTGCAAGGACTGCACTGTCCAACTGAGATGGAGTTCCTTAATGTTACAAAGAAGCAGGATAATACGTCTGCTGGCTCGTTTGGATGCAACTCCCGTCCCTTGTGATTCAACCTGCTGCCCATGCTGGTCGTCATGATCGTGCCCTTTGCACCTGAGCCTGTGGGAATCCCATAATCTTTTGAATGCTTATTCCAAATGAGCATGTCGAATAGAGGCAGTGGGTCCCATCTGCGCCGTTGATTCTAAGGGGTGAAAGACAGACCAGGAGCAGCTTTCAGGAGATCTCCTCCTCAGGAGAGACTTTTGCACCGTCCTAGAGCCGCGTCACAAAGCCTTCCTGTTGATGCATGTTCCATGTGGCCAAATGCCGGGTGGTGGAACTGTTTGTTAAGGATAGGCAAGAGTTTTCTCCGATAGCCTTTGCGTCTCCTCCCTCGATGGGGCCTCTGCGGCACCAACGCGATGCTTTAAGTAGCATTGGTGACGAAGATAATACATTGATCCATGCAACATCATGATACAGGCCCCAAGCGTCGCATCCCTCCTCGCAAACACTTTTTGACGCGCAGGCCCACTGAGGACACTGTGGTCAAACGGCAATACAGGACTCGGCTGATACGGGGCGGTGGCGGGGCTGATCAGGTGCAGATGTCTACAACAGCCTGCAGCCTTGGGAGAGCTTCAAGGTGTATACTAGATGGTGGTCACCTGCCCAGTCCAATGTGCCCGATCCGCGGAAATGTGCCTCATGGACGCAAGGGCCTGGACTTGCTTTTGCGGACCTAAAATTAAGAGACTCACCAGCATGATAGCATCCTCAAAGAAAAATCAAACATCTGCCTCATCGAGGCGCCCACTCCCGGGTTTGGGTGGACATGGCTTCGCCCGGCTTATCGCCGAGCGGGACGGGGGTGACGGGAGGTTCCCGCCGACATCCAGCTTCGAAAGAAGCCCTACCCCCCGTATTGGGATGAAACCACATCAAATCGGTCAGATTATGATTTACATTCAGTGAACAAAACTCGAGCATCCACGCAGTTCAAAAGGTGTCACACGGTCATGACGAAGTTTGCGGCAGTAGCTTAAGCATATTGTGCCCCTCGTGGCGCCCCATGCTCGGTGCCAATGGGCCTGTGTTTGTCGACGGCGAATCCGACTCACGAGCAGGTGTGGAAAATCTCGCTGTGTGTGAGTGGGGGGCCTTCCCTGGCATTCCCAGGGCACACCATCCCACTGCATTCCCCACACGGCGCAGAAAGGGGAACTTCACGGTGGTGCCCGCCAGAAAGCCTCCCTCGAGAAGCCGAGCTCCATCTCAGTGATTCACCATGACGATTCGAGAGGTGATGCCTCGGAGAACTCGTCGACACAGGAGGCCGGCCCCCCGGTCCCGGGCGCCCTGGTTCCGAGGGACTCGCTCTTCAAAACCCGGGCGTACGACGACGAGCCTGCCCGGGTGTCCGAGCTGCGGTCCCTCCAGATCCCCTACACCAAGCAGGACGAGCGTTTCGACCAGATCACCAGGTGGCCAGGGTGGAGGGGAAGGGAGCATTGGGCTCGGACTGAGTGGGGAGGGGGTCCAAGGCAACCCCGCCCCACGCCCGCTTGCTTTATTCCCTGCGGGATTCCTCAATAGGTTTCCACCACCACACACACCCTGGGCTGGCAGATTGGAGCCCTGACAGCCCTTTGATCATGTACGATGTGGCCCTACACATCTCTCCTGCCCTGCAAGCACACCCCTCCCCCCTCCGCCCTTTCCTCCTCCCCCCCACCCCAAACACGCAGGCTGATGTCCACCATCTTCCAGGTGCCGCTGTCCATGATCACCCTGATCGACTCGGAGCGCATGTCCTTCCTCTCTGCCGCGGGCAACGGCTCCGCCCCCCGCTGCGAAGGCTTCTGCGAGTTCGTGCTGGTTCCAGCGCACCCCGTGGCGCACATCGTGGAGGACACGCTGCGCGACGCGCGGTTCATGGGGCACGAAAACGTGGCCTCCTCGCCCCACATCCGCTTCTACGCGGGCGCGCCGCTGGTGGGGTCGCGCGGCTTCCGGTACGGCACGCTCTGTGTCAGCGACTACCGCCCGCGCCGTTTCCCCGCCGAGCTGTACAACACCCTGGTCAACTTTGCCGACCTGGTCGTGCGCGAGATCGAGCGTGACGGCCGACCGCAGGCCTGGGCGGGGAGCAGGGGGAGCGCGGGGCGCGGCGAGCTGGCGCCCTGGGGCGGCAGCGGGGGGCCGGGCGGGTCGGGGGGCTCCTGGCTGGCCGGCTCGACGCCGGTGCCCCCCGCCGCCAGCGCAGGCCCCCTGCCTCTGCCCTCGCCGGGCGTGGCGCCGCTGCCGCGCCCCGACCTGGCCCGCCGCGATGCGGTGGCGCTGCTGGACACCTCCCAGGCGGGGCGTTGGGTGGTCAAGTACGTGAATGAGGCCTGGGTGGGCACGCTGGGCGGGCGGCCCGAGGCCTGGCTGGATGCGGCGCTGCAGGACGCCTGCGTCGTCGAGTGCGGCGGGGGCGGGCCCGAGGCGGCGCTGGAGCGGGGCGAGGCGCTGGGCGTGGCGCTGCGCTGCGCGCGCGGCCCCGCCGGCGCCGCGCCCTTTGCCGCCTCGCTGCGCCCCGCGTCGCGGGACCGCCTGCTGCGCAGCAACACCACCTGCATCCCCAGCTTCGTCAGGAGCCTGGGCGGGGAGGCCGGGCCCGCCGCCCGCCCCCGCCTCCCCCTCTGGTTCCTGGTGTTTGACCCCGAGGACGCCGCGGCCTCCGGGCCGGCGCACCGCGCGGCGGCCGGCGCCGGCGCTGCGCCGGCGGGGCCGGGCGCGCTGGCCGAGCCGCGCCCCGCTGACCTGGCGGACCGCCTGACGCTGGGCGCGCCGCTGGGCGCGGGGTCCTTCGGCCGCGTGTACCGCGGCGCGCTGCAGGGCCGCCCCGTGGCGGTCAAGGTACTGCCCGTCTCCGACGAGGCCAGCCGCGCACTGGGCCTGGCCGAGGCGGCGGTGGGGCGCCGCCTGGACCACCCCGCGCTGGTGCGCACGCTGGAGTGCAGCGTGGCGGAGGGCGCGGGCGAGGCCGACCCCAGCGTCTGGATCGTTCAGGAGTTCTGCGACGGCGGGACCCTGTACGACGCCATCGACAGGTGGACAGAGGGGCTCTGGGGGGTGAAGGGCATGGTCCAGAGGGGGGGGAGGGGAGGGGTGCGGGCCAGCCGGCGGGAGTGGGGCTGGGCCTGGCTGTGGCCTGTGCCAGGGTGCCTGTGCATGGACTGCAGGGTTCGCCTCATGCACGGGCCTGGTCCACACGGGACCTGGAGATCGAGGGGATCAGAGGAGCAGGTCGGTGCCTCGGTCCCCCACATGGTCACCACCCCTCCGACCCCAGTCTCCCCGACACACATACCTCAAACACCCCCCCCCCACACACACACACACACATGCAGGGGCTGGCTGCGGCAGGGGTACGATGGCTTTGCTCCGGCCGACGTGCGGGCCGTGCTGCGGACGCTGTGCGAGGTGGCGTCGGCCCTGGCGCACCTGCACGCCCTGGGCGTCGTGCACGGCGACCTCACGGGGTCAAACGTGCTCCTCTGCTCCGCGGCGCGCGCGCCCGACGACGGCCGGGGCTGGCACGCCAAGGTGTCCGACTTTGGGCTGGCGCGGGAGCTGCCGGCGGGCGGGGTGCTGTCCAACGTCCGCATCTACGGCACCGTCAGCCACATGTGTGTGGG